CCCGGCATTCCTATAGGCCTACCACGAAATTTTCTCAGAACCCACGGATGTCGCAAGAACAAGAGCAATGCTCTTAGACCATAAGCCCGATGTGCTAAAACAAGACGGTCTCAACCAGAGGTGTTCGGAGAGCGGCTCGTGCAGACCACTAGAAAGACCCTCAGAACATTCTTTGGCGGACATCGAGGCGAGCCGGGACGCGTCGCCACTGCTCGAGTCATGTTCTCCATGCCTTTTCCTGGCTGGGCTTTTGGTTGCGGGTCGCCGCCGGCGCCGTGGTCCTCGCCGACGGAGAAGCCACGGGGGGGCGTCCGCCGCAGGCCGACGGACGACGCCGCGCCCCAGGCGTGCACACGAGCGGGGCAGCAGTGCGAGGGGCACGCTGTGGCAAGGTTTCGGGCCGCCAGGCCTCAGCAAGCATTGTAAGAATTATGTCTGCTCCTTGGAAGAGGCAAAATAATCATTGCCGACTGCCCTACGCTCCTGATCTTAGATTAGGAAAAAATAAGGCGAGGAAGCCACCCGGCCTGCCCGTCCCAGTCGAAGGGGCGGACCTGGAGCTGGCCTCCAGGCGCAGCCCACGGGGAGACCGCGTCGCGAGAAGAGCTTCTGACGACACGTTCGGCCTCCCGGGGCTCCCGCAGGGCCCCGGGACCGTCAAACAACTGCTCGGGATGGCAGAACCGCCACGGGGGAGAGGGTGGGGACCCCGCGTTGAAGAAGTCGGGGCCTCGAATGTCTGGGGGCGGTCCCCTGTCGCTGTCCCCTGGTGCTGGGGCGAAACCTTCGCGCAGGACGCCGAAAAACACCTCCCTCGATGGGGGCTGCACGGTTGTTCTCCTCTCTTGTTCGGGGGCCCTCCTCGGATACCTGCCCAACCTGTGTCAAGCAGTGGCGAAGCGACCTGGCGTGCCTACAGGCCTACCAAACAACGTTATAAGAACCTGTGTGTGGTTTCCACAACATGTTCTTAGAAATGTTCTGGTTGGGGCTGTCTTGATTTAACACATCGGGCCTATGGTATAAGAACAGTTGTTTGTGCTTAGAACATGTCTGGGTTATACGAACATGTCGTGGTAGGCCTATAGGAATGCTCTTCCCTGAGTTATGTTTTCTACTTAGTGTTGTAAGGGGCCCACACCCTCGGACTGCTCGAGCTCTTCAGTCATCCACCTACCCACCCACGCATGCACTCATCATCATCACCATCACCATCACCATCACCATCACCATCAGCCTCAGCATCAGCATCAGCATCAGCATCAGCAGCAGCAGCATCATCATCATCATCATCACCATCATCATCCTCAGTCACTCACCCACTCATTCACTCACCCGCTCACTCACACCCACACTTGAGGATGTATCAGGCGAGAGCCTCGTCTGTGAGTAAACTGCGAGGAAATCTCAGGCGAGTGCCCCCTCCCTTATGGGTCCCGCACTTCATGTTGGTAATCCGAGCGGGTCATCGGAAACCGGTAACTGTCGTCACTGTTGGGCTCCTGAGGTTTGAAAGTGGAGGAAGTATCAGGCGGGAGCCTCGTCTGTGAGTGAATTGCGAGGAAGTCTCAGGTGGGAGCCCCCTCCCTATGGGGCCCGCACTCTGTGTAAGTAGTTCGAGCGGGCCATCGGAACCCTGAAACTCTTGCCAGTTGTGGGCTCCTCAAGATTGAAAATGAAGTATCACGCGGAATCCTCGTCTGTGAGAGAATTGCAAGGAAGTTGCAGGCGGGAGCCCCCTCCCCATGGGGCCCGCACTTCATGTTGGTAACCTGAGCGGGTCATCGGAATGGCCCAAGATGGCCCAAGAGGCCCCCGCGAGGTCTCCAAGACGGCCCAAGAAGCCTCCAAGAGGGCCTCCAGGAAGGCCCGAAACTGTCAAAATCAGCAATGCCCCTTCGGCGGCTGAAGGATTTGAGCAGTTGCTTCTTTTCGGCCTTCCGACGGCCCGAGACGGCCCAAGATCCCCGAAAGGCCTCCAGCACGGCACCAGAACGGCCCAAGAGCCCCCCAAGACCGCCCCAGGAGTGCCCAAAGACGCCCCAAGAGGCGCCCAAAGACGCCCAAGATGGCCTCCAAGACGGCCCTGGAACACCCCAAGAAGGTTCCAAGTCGGCCCAGAGAGGCCTCCAGACGGCTTCCGACGGCGTCAGACGGGCCAGGAGCCCACCAAGACAGCCCAAGATAGCTCTAAGATGGCCCAAGACGGCCCAGGCGGCCCCCAAAAGGTCTCCAAGACGGCCCAAGAGGCCTCCAAGAGGGCCTCCAGGAAGGCCCGAAGAAGCCAACATCTTGAGTTTCCGTAGGTGTTTGAAGGATGTGGGCATTTGCTTATTTTCGGCCTTCCGACGGCCCGTTGCCCAAGAGCCCCGAAAGATCGCCCTAAGGGCTTCGAGGATGGCTTCAGAACGGCCCAAGAGGCCCCCAAGACCGCCCCAAGAGGGCCCTAAGACGGCCCAAGAGGCCTCCAAGACGCCCAAGATGGCCTCCAAGACGGCCCTGGAGCACCCCAAGAAGGTTCCAAGTCGGCCCAGAAAGGCCGCCTAAGACGGCTTCCGACGGCGTCAGACGGGCCAGAAATGCCCTGAGACGGCCGAAGAGGCACCCGAGAAGACCCCAAAGGCCCCCAAGAGGCCTCCAAGAGGCTCCCAGGAACCTCCCAGGAGGCCCCAAGAGTGCCCCCAGAGGCTCCCAGGATGCCCACATCCTCATCCTCATCCTTTCCTTCTTTCTCCTCCTCCTCCGCCTTCTCCTCCTCCTCCTGATCTTCCCAGCCATCCTCCCCCAAGCGTTCCCCGAAGGGTTTCCACAACGGTTGGGGGAACACATGGTCCGATAGCTTGGCAGAGCTCTTGCCACAACCAGGGGACGGCGGTGACTCGCCGTAGGCGTGTTCGATAGCGAGGCTCTCCGAGAGGGCAGAGGGCAGTGACGAAATAAACAGCTGAACGAACACACACACACACACTTTCGGAGGTCCGCGCGGGTTTCTTGGATCGGCGCTTGGCACCCATGGCGGTGCCTGCAACGCCACGCCTGGCGCGCGGGTCCAACGCAGATCCAACAAATCCGCGCGCCAGGAGGCCGTAGTCACGGAGGATAGGGAGCCTACGAAGAGCGTACGCGCCCAACCACGTACGTGAATACGGTTTCCCAGCTCGCGAGACCAGCCGCGTGATACGAACGTTCGCTCAACGCGTACTCTCGAAACCAACGTGGATTCATGTACGTGTACGTCCTTCGTTCGCTCCTGAGAGGAGGGAGAGACGAGGAGAGAGAAGGGAGGATAAGGGAAGGACCACCCCACCTCTTCTCGTCGTGGACAAAACCAAAACGCGAAGGTTTCCGCCGCCATGATCGGCCTCCGAAGACTCTCGCCGGGCCTCGGGGGCCGTCAAACAGATGTCTGGGACGAAACAACTGACCAGGGAAGAGGTCCAGACCTCAAGGGTCCACGTTGCGAAAAACGCAGAACGCCATAGTTCTAGGGATATCCTTGACGGCAATGCCTTCAGCGGGGAGATGCAATGCAGTGGTGAACCAATCGGCGCTCTTACTCCAGGGTCCCAAGGGATGATCTCGAAACCAGCCTCTAAGCACCCACCAAGCCAGGGCAGGGACCAAAGACAAGATACAGGGGAAATGGAACCAGAAAGGGAATGAGAGGAGAAGGAGAGAGGCGAGCTGCGTTTGAAGTCCCTTCTCGGTTGAGTAGGGCTGGGGGGTCAAGTCTGCAGAGCACCCCAAACGGACGTCAAGGGGCGCAACCAGCCTGTTCGGTCAAGCTGAAACTGATGCACCACACACGGCGTCAAGCCGAAACTTTGGACATGAGCGAATGGTTGGATATTGCACATCTTCATCGGCTGAACCGGCGAGGCGTTGGACCACCTTGACGGTCCTTTTTTGGTGGCCCTGAAAGGAAGGCGCTCTCTGACCCTCGGCCCCATTGAACATCTCGGCGCCGTCCGCGGCAATCGGAGGACGCTGCTCCGCGGAAGCGGGAAGAGGAGATGGGTTACCCGTCGGTTTTTTAGAAACATGAAGTAGGAAGGCGGACAAAGTAGATGAAGTTCAGGCCCTCCCAGAGAATAACAAGACATTGCAAAAGCGCATCGATTCTTGAGGTAGGAAGGCGCCTAAAGTAGATTGGGACCTGGGAGTCCAAACAAACCTGCTTTCAACGACCAGCGTGTGGGGGGAAGGGCGCCTCCGAACTCCTCGCCCGGCGTTGTGCTGCACCCTCGGGGGCATCCTCTGTCCCATCGCGCCGCTACGCGAGACTACTCTTAGGTCGGGCATCTCCCCCTACAGGCGGATTTTGGACGAAAAATAGAATACATACCAAAAACGAAAAAAATACAAAAATACTCAAAAAATTGTCCCAATATTATGTTTTACCTATTTTAAACTACTCCCTGCCGAACGTCGAATCCTCCTCGCGCCGAATCCGCGACGGACCCACGGCGAATCCGTATCGAATCTGCGTCTAATCCACCCGAATACAACAGGAAACAGCAACTCTGGGCGGCGCGCGGGTGCTGGAACTGAGAAGGGGCAGGCCCTTTTCAGAAGGCGGCGGGGCTTCTCCGAAAGCATCCGGCCTTCTGAGAAGCCCCCCGCGGTTTCGGAGAAGACCGTGAAAGCTTCTCTGAAGGGGCCCTGGGACACACACACACACACACACACACACACACACACACACACACACACACACAAAAATACACACAAATAACAGGATTACCCATATTTTCCTATATTTTCTGGGTTTCTGTCTTCCCCCCTACTGCACATATTTTCCCATATTTTCTGGGGAATCGACGATTAATTGTGTCTGTGTTTTTTCTCCTCCTGATTCTCAGAAGGCCAGAGGCCTTCTGGACCTGACGAAGCCTGGCACCTCTGCCTTCCCTCCGGGGCGCGCCGCCGAAACCCTCAGAACAGGCAAGGCTCCCTCGAGGACAGGACGTGACCCGCGAGCCGTGCTGCTGCCGGCGGGCCTGGAGTCCGTGCCGGCGCCGGGCGAGTCACCCCTCCGAGAGGGGGTCGAGGAACGCCCGGCAGAGGTCCTGGACGTCCCACCTCTGCGCGGGGCCCTCCGACTCCTAATCCTACTCCCCTCAGCCCCTCCTCCTTCTCTCCCTCATCCACGTCCTCCTCCTCCTCGTCCTCCTCCTCCTACTCCTCGTCCTCCTCGTCGTCATCCTCCCACTCCTCCGCCTCCTTCGTCACTTTTCCAGCCTCCTTCTCCTCCTCATCATTATCCTCCCCATCGTCCATTATTTCCCTTGCGAATCCGACGACCAATCCACCAATCCAGTCGGCGAGTGTGAGACGCTGCGTCGTCGTCGCCGTCGTCGTCGTCGTCGACGTCGTCGTCGTCGTCGTCGTCATCGTCATCGTCGTCGCCGCCAGTCCCAAGGAAATCCGCCGACCCCTTGTGGGTCTCTAGGCGTGTGAGATACTTCCTCCTCCACAAGTCCCCCCCAAGGGACCCCAAACCAACAATTCGACCGCCTCCCCCTCGCCCGGCACGACCCACTGCCGAACGCGTCATGGGGGAACAGAGGGCCCCAAAACGAACCAAGAGGGCACCAAAACGCCTCCGTGACCGTCCACGAAGGCGACGAGTCGCCGAAATATCGTTCCAAGACACCCACGATGGCTTCCAGACAGCCTCCGAAGCCCCCAAGACGACCCAAGAGGCCCCCAAGAGGCGTCCCAAGGGAGCCCCAAGATGCAGAAATCGCACCATCCCCCTCGTAAAGCGTTCAATTTTACCATATTGGTTTTTTGCGGTTTCACAACGTCCGACACGGGCCATGAAACCTTCAATACTCCCAGGACGGCCTCGGCAACTGCCGAGAAAGGTCTAAGAGGGCCCAAGGACGGCCCAAAAAAACGCCTTAAACGGCCACGAGGGCCTCCAGACAGCTCCAAGGGGGAGCCGGGAGGGCAACTTGTTGGTCCTTCGGCTCGGACATTCCCTCATCCTGCTGCAAGAAACTCCCAAGAGGGTCCCAGGGAGGCCCAAGCGAGGCCCAAAAGGCCCCCAACAGGCTCCCAGACAACCCCCAAGAGGCCCATACACTACCTCCAAGACGCCCCCTGTGACGCCTCAAGACCAGATCGTGTGGTGGGCGGGCTACCGCGAACAGAGTCATTTTGCAACTGCGCCCACATCGCGGATCATGTGATGGCCACGGAGCGCAAGCTGCTGCCAATTTACCGAAGCATCGCTTTGGACACAACAGCCGCTGACACATTAAGGCAACTTGGGGCGTCAGTCCCAACGGGGTACGCCTAGGCAGCCACCAGAGGGATGAGTGGACCTAGGAACGCCGATGCCTCCACGTGCGCAGCATGTCGCGCGAGCGTTGCCGAAAATCGGGTTCCCGCTTCGGGCAAAGATGGCTCCACGCTGTTTGGCAACGCCAGCTCTGAGCTGGCTGTGGGGAAGGAGGGAGGGAGGGGGGGAGGGAGGAGGAGGAGGAGGAGGAGGAGGAGGAGGAGGAGGAGGAGGAGGAGGAGGACGGCGAGGAGGAGGAAAAACGCGACGAGCAGACACAACCAAGCAGGAGGAGAGGGGAAGCAGCAAAAGCAACAGCAGGCAAGCGCGCACGTCGGGGGCGGGCGTGGGGCGGAAGGAGCGGGGGCCGTCGACGGCGATCGGGGGTTCGTCGCGCGTCGTCGTGGCGCTGGGGGTCGTCGTGGGTCGTCGGGGGTGGTCGTGGGTCAGGGATCGTCAGGGGGCGGGAGGGGCGGAGGGCCGTCGTGTCACTGGGGGTCGTCATGGGTCGTCGGGGGAGGGGCGGAGGGTCGTCGTGGGTCAGGGGTCGTCAGGGGAAGGGAGGGGCGGAGGGCCAACCGGAGCCGACGACGACTCAGATGGCGTCGGCCGCGGCCGCCGCCGCGGCTGCTGCGAGGCGCGCAGCAGGCACCCCAGCCGCCGGCTGCAGCCGTCGCGGCACCGCCCGCGCGTTCTCCCGTTGAAGGGAGACTTAAAGTCGCTGGGCGTGCCGGTCTGCCACCGCGGCTGCTTCCTCCCTGGTGGCGTCCGCCACCCGCTTCGGCCAAGATCGCACTTGTCTTTTTTTCTTCTGATTCGCACTATCAATATTCGTATTCGTGTTCATCATACGGTTCGCCTTCATCTTATTCGTCATATGATTGTTGGTACTATTACCCTTATGAATGTGATTACTATGTGTCTTCTTCTTGAAGAAATTCTTATGTGTCGTCTGACTATTATTAGACTCAGTCGTATTACTAGTAGTATTTCCCCTCCTCTTTCTCATCCTCCTCTTCCTCTTCCTCCTCCTCCGCTACTTATTTTCCTCCTCCTCCGTCCCTTCTCCTCCTCCTGCTCCTCACCACCCTCATCCTCCTCATCCTGCTACTCTCTCTCCTCCTCCACCTCCTCCTCCTCCTCCTCCTCCTCCTCTTCCTCTTTCTCCTCCTCCTCCTCCTGTCCTCCTCCTCCTCCTTCTCCTCCTCCTCCTCCATGCCCCGAGCTTGTGGCAGGGTCATCAGCTCGTCGTTGTCATTGTCGTCGTGATCGTCGTCGTCGTGGTCGTTGTCGTCGTCCTTCTGGGTCGGCGGCACCGGCCGTAAGGCCTTCACACTAACTCCTCCCTGTCGCCCCCCGAGACCTGGCGGGCCAGGTTTTTCGAACGGAACTGATACACAGACTATGACTGTGGAGCTGACTATGACTTATACACAGACTATGACTAGGGCGGGCGATTTACAAAATGTGTCTCTCGCTCTAACGCCGCGCATATTCGTCATACAAGTGTGCAAGCGCTTCACGGATGGAGGGCGGGTCTTTTCAAAGTGTGGCTTCCGTTGTTGCGCCGCGCATCTCTGTCTTAACAGTTTGCAAGAACTTCACGGATGGAGGGCGGGTCGTTTTGGAAATGCGACTATCGATTCAGCGCTGCGCACGTTCCTTACAACAAGTGTGTAACAGCTTCACGGATGGAGGGCGGGCCATGTTCAAAATGTGGCTCTCGCCCTAACGGCGCAAATTCGTTGCAACAGTTGGCAAGAGCTCAACAGATGGAGGGCGGGTTCTTTTCACAATGCGGCTCTCGCCTGGGCGCCGCGCACATTCCACTTTAAAATGTGCATGGGTTTCATGGATGGATCATGTTCAAAATGTGGCTCTCGCCCCAGAGCCGCGCATATTCGTCGCAAAAGTTTGCAAGAGCTTCACACATGGAGGGCGGGTCCTGTTCAAAATGTGTTTCTCGCCATAGCGCCGACCGCATTCGCCTTTTAAAGTTTGCGAGAATGTCAAGCATGGAGGGCGGGCCGTTTCAAAGGCTATCGCCCCAGCCCCGCGCACATCCCCGTTGAAAGTTCGCAGGAATTTCGCGCATGGAGAGGGGTGCTTTCAAGATGTGGCTCTCGCTCCAGCGGCGCACATCCGCTGTGAAGCTCTGCAGGAGCTTCACGAATGGAGGGCGGGTCCTTTTCAAATTGTGGCTCCCGCCATTGCGCCGCGCACATTAATCTCAAATGTTGCATCCTGGATGGAGGGCGTGTCGATTTCAAAATGCGGTCCTCTCCTTAGCGCCGCGCATACTCATTTGAAACCACGACAGAACCCTAACTGGTTCTTGTGGCTGACGTCCCAGAAGTAGATAGTGTTCCGGCACGACCGTGGATTGCCAGGGCGCACCAGTCACGATAATTTGCGGAGTTGAAGTCCGACGAATGGACTTCTGGCACGATGCAGGATCGTCAGAACGCAATGGTGTTTTGGCACGGCTGCGAATCCTCGGACGGTTGTCTTTCAACGGAGCATTTGCAGCAGTGGAAACAGGTTCTGGAAAAGCCTATGAAGAGGGAATGTGGGGGAAGGTTTACTGCAATATCGCTGATGCGCCTTGGGATTAAATTGGTGCTCCTCCTCCTCCTTCTCCTCCTCCTCCTCCTCCTCCCCATCCCTTTTCCTTACGAATTACTCCTCCCTGTCGCACCCCGAGACGTGTCAGTAGGGCGAGCTGGGCGGTTCGCCTGAGACTTCCTCACCGTTCTGAAGGAGCCCAGGGACACACAAATAAATACACACAAATAAAAGCACTCCTCATATTTTCCTATATTTTCTGGGTTTTTGCCTTCCCCCCCACTATCCATAGTTTCCCATATTTTCTGGGGAAACGACGATTAATTGTGTCTGTGCTTTGTTTTCCCTCCTGACGTTCATCATCCTGACTTGCAACCTGCAGCAGCTTCACGGATGGAGGGCGGGTGCTTTTCAAAATGTGGCTCTTGCTTCAACACCGCGCACATTCGTCTCAAAAGTTCACGAGAGGTCCACGGTTTGAGGGCAGTTCATTTTCAAAATACGGTTCTCGCCTCAGCGCCGCCCGCATTCGTCCTAAATGATCACAACAATAGAAAGGATAATTCTGGTTGGTGTCCCAAAAGTGGTGTTCTGGCACGACTTACGATTGCCAGAGCGCAAGAGGTTACATGGACTCGCAGGACTGGTGTTCTAGCACGATGCAGGATCGTCAGGACGCAACAATAAAGTTGATTAGCGGCGTTGACATCCCACGAATGGTGTTTGGCACGCCTGAGGATTCTCAGACGGTTGTCTTCCAACGCGGCACTTCCTGCAGTCGAGGTAAATCTTCGTAGGACCTAAAAGAAGGAACTTGGAGGGAGAGTGTGTTGCAACATCGTTGATGCGTTTTGGGTTTACACTGATCCTCCTCCTCCTCCTACTCCTTCGCTTCCTATTCCTCCTCTTCTTCCGCCTGTCCTCCCCTCCTGCTGGAGGAGGAGATGCAACACGGAGTGGAGGATGCGAGAGGACCGTCGCCGGCTACTTTTTCGGAAATCGTAAAGACGGGGGCCAGGGCCAGATCACGCTGGCCGGCCCATAGAAGGAGGAAGTGTGGGCCTCCAGCTGGGTTCGCTTCCAAATGCCACATTGGGTTGACCCCCCTCCACGAACCCCGAACCTCTTGAGCCCCTCCTCCTCCCACTTTGTTCACGCTGGGGCCTTGGCCAGAGAAGGATCTCGAACTTTCGCTCGCAAACCACCACAGGGGACTTGGGTTCTTCCTTGGGCCAGGCAACGAGGGGCCCCCCCTCCTTCCTCCCCTCCTTGTCCCTTCTCCTTCTTCTCCTCTCATGCCCCCAAGCCTGGTCGCTCCCCTCTTCTCCCTCGTTCCATCCTTCCTCTTTCTCCCCCCCCACCACCACTCCGTCCATTCCTCTTCCCCACACTCCTCGAAGCCGGAGCAGTGATCACGGGAAGATGCAATTCTGTATTTATTGTAGCAGCGAGTACGGACTGCAGTCTGAATATCCCAGCCGTCCCCGGCCTGTAGCTCGGCAGCACGCCCTGCCAGTGGTACACGTACAGGACCACCTGCCAGCACCCGAAGGGGAGGCGGGGAGGGGGAGGGGCCCTGGCCCCATTCCCTCCGCCTGCCTTCCCCGTCCCATCCTCCTTCCCTCCCTCCCTCCCTCCTTCCTTCCCCCTCCTCCTCCTCCTCCTCCTCCTACTCCTCCTCCTCCTCCTCCTCCTCCTCGTCCTCAACCTCCACCTCCTCCTCCTCAACCTCCACCTCCTCCTCCTCCAGCTCCTCCTGCCATTCCAACCCTCCCCCCCCCACTTACTATCCCTCCCAGTCCCTCCGCATCCCCCTCCCGATGTGCCTGTCCCACCCCTGCCGCCCCCCCACCTCCAGAAGGCACGGCCTCTCTGCTCCCATCCAATCCGTCCTGTTTCCCATCCCACATCTCCATCGTTTGTGGTTGCCCCTTTCCGCTATATTCTCGATGTGGTTCATTCCTCTCCCTGTCCCTCTCCATCTCTTTCTTTCGTTTGTGTGTCTCTCTCTCTCTCTCTCTCTCTGTCTCTCTCTCTCTCTCTCTCTCTCTCTCTCTCTCTCGCTGCCTCTCCCCGCGCTCCCGCCCCTGCCCACCGGCCGCGCGGGCTCCAGGACCTCCGCGCCCGCCTGGCTGTTCGGCTTGCATCGAGCGCATCTCCGTCCCTTCTACTGGCCCTCGCTCGGACGTCCATTCCCTGTGTTTTATGTCGGTTTTGTGCGTGGTGTTTTCGCCAAATGATCAAGGATGCTCCTCGATGGTCCTCGCCGAGGAAAAATGCACACGTCCGAGCGATGCCAAGTCTAATGACGAGCTCAAGGCGGTGCCAATTCGAGGATCCTCAGAACGTGTGTTCGCGCCAACGACTGCTTGCCCACCAAAGCCCTTCGATGCGACGCGGGTCGTGCAACGAGGGCCAGCACAGGCTGCGTGCTATCGGCGGGAGTGAAGGTGGTAAACACGCGTTGGGCGAACACACGCCCTGAAGATCATCGACCAATCGCGGGGACCTGCCCTCAGATACCGGGGGGTTCTGAAGATCGGCCAGCCCCTGAATGAGGTGATACTAATATTGTGGATGCCACGACAATGGACACTCTAACAATCCTATCATTGAATTAAAGATGTGTTTGAAATGTGTAAAACATGGTCTAAACATGTTTCAAACCTGATTTAACATATTTAAGACATGTTTGAAACATCTGTTAGACATCTGGGAATATTTGGTAGCATGCCTCCACTAATCGACTTCCACTATAAAATTGCCAGGATGAGGACACATGCTCTCACGAGCCAACCTGTGCAGCCAGTTGTCCCGGCGCCCCTTGGCGATGCATCGAGGAAAGCACCGGAATGAGGGGCCGAAGCCAGCTGCATGTAGCGGTTTTCGTAGCCCCCCTTCCCAGATAGCCGTTGTCGCCACGACAACCCCAGAGCTCAGCAGACTGAGTCACCTGAGGTCCTCGACAGACCGACCGACCTCCCTCCCTCCCCTCCGCCCTCCGCGGTCTTCTCCACCCCCCCCTCCCCCCGCCGCCACTCCTCACCTCCCTGCCCTGCCCCCCTCCCCTCCCCCTCACACCACTCCCCTCTCATGCCCTCCCACCCATCCCTCGCTTTACCGCCCTCCCCCCCCCTCCCTCTCCCTCACCCCCGCCCTGCCCCCCCCATTCCCCCCCGCTCCCTCTCGTCTCGGCTCGAGGGCCCCCGACCCGGCGGCGCAGCCGCGACGCGAAACCCCCAGCGCAGACATTGGCACTTTCCGCGCATGGCGAGACTGGCACCCGGCATCCCACGGTGCGACTGATCCGGGTCATCTCCAGATTCCCGCGCGCGCCGCAGTGCTCCTGAGAGCTCTCGCCGCGTGCTTCACGTACCACTGCAGCCCAAGCCACGAGGCAAGTGCCGCCAAGCATCGTGTCCAGAGAACCTTCTCGTGCGCCAGGAGGCCTGACCGGGCTCCTGCAGCCTACGACGAGCTGGTCCAATTGCGCCCAACCTACCAAGAACACCGCTCCAACCAGCCACGGCTCAGGAGCGAGCTGATGAGAGTGTGCACGCAGTTCAAGATTCAAGATCCGCTGCACCAAAGTGCAACTTGCCTTTACATGCAACACGGGCGCCAGCAGTGACCCACCAGGGTTCGCGGCCAAAGCCGCAACCCACCAGGACAACGGCACGGCCCCTCTCATCAGCCTCGACGCACCAAACTGGGACGCCCCGATCGCACCCTCCGTTCGCCGGGGCCGACCACGGGATCTCACGCACCAGCAGCATCCCCCAACACCCCGCCAAAGCCCAAACACCGAATGACAATGATTCGGGCTCCGTCGCCATCTCCGCAGCAATTGCCACGGGGGGGGTGGAGCGCCACTAGAGGGCCCTGGACTCCAGCGCTGCAGCCACTGACAAGCCCTTCGGACACACCCACCAGGGTGGAGCCCAGGGTGAAACCTGGCAATGCCTCAGCGACACCCACGGCGCGCAAACGCCACTGACAGCACCACCAAGCTCCACGTCACCTGCCCCAACGACAGCACTCACGCGAGCTGGCGATTCGGACGTCGTGAGGGACCCCTGCAGGCGGGCCTGCCGAACAGCGTACCAGGTAGCGCTCGTGCGGCCTCGGGACTGAGCCTAGTCCCACCAGAGCAAATGCAAGGCCCGCCAAGGCCGACGCGCTTCCCGACACCACAGGCCTCATCTCTCCAGCCGCGCCTCCGCCCATCCACGAACGCACCGAGGCAACGGTCATCAACCAGGTAAAGAACGCCACCAACGGCCAGCATGGCACTGTCATTGGGCGCGCGGGGTACCAGAACCAGTACTGGGTGGTCCTGCTGACGACCAATGGCATACTGCCGCCCTGTACATGTCAAGCTCGACCCCATCGCGCCTCGCCCCCCTCAGAAGCCAACCTCCCTGAGGAGGCCTTGCGTCAACGTCAGGGCCCAGGCCAACAGAGATGTCAGCCTCGTCGACTGCAGGGACTGCGGCTGACCGACCCACCAGGCCGGCCTGCGCACACGCGAAGCCCGTGCTCGTGTCTGAGCTCGCATCTCCGATGACAACTGTCGCACAAACAACTGCGGCAACGACAGGGCTCACGAACACCCGGGGGCTTAGTCCGCGGCAGAGGGAGCGGAGCGCCGAGGCAAGCTCCGTTCGGGCGCACATCAGCACAAGCTCCCATCGAGAGCATACCAGCGCTTAACCCTCGCCCCCCTCGCCCTCATGGTCGCGGGCATCCCGCCAGGGCTCGCGGACAAGGGCACCAGCAGCTTCGCACCCACGACTGCGATGAGCAGCGCAACGAGCAGCATGGCCTCGAGCGGCACCTCCGGGATATCCGGGATAAGTCTTTAGAACCCCCCAACAATGAAAACCAGTTATCTGTTTGACCCCCGTATTGACAAACCGGGGCCCCACCGATAGCTGACAGTTTTTTCTCCGCGGCACCCACACGCGGTAACGACGACGACGACGAGGTGAAAGAGGAGATTGTGAGCAACGCCTTCGGCGAATAATGTCGACCTATATTACAATCCTCTTTAAAAACGTGCTGAAAATTCTTCTGCCGCGCGGAGTCACCCATGGAGAATGATTCCCTGGGAGCAAGAAACCCCCAACATTACCAAGCCCACCCAACAGTAGAGCGGAAATAATCTCAGCCGCGACGACGACGACGCTTACGACTACGACTAAAATTACGACTACGTTTCAATAACAATCACGACGACGATTACGTCTAAAATCACGACTACAATCACGAGTACAATGACGATTAGAGCCACCACTACAATACAACATTGCAATCCTTATGAGAAGATGCTCACAAATCCTGTCGCATGCTGGGTAGCCAACAATGGAAAAGTCCCTGGGAAAGAGAACACCTAAACATTGTCCGAGCCGCTCAACGAAAGCGAGAAAACAATCTCTGCCGCGAGAATGACAAAGACGACGACGACCACGATGACGCAGTTGTGGTGGTAGCCGTAGTAGTGGTAGTAGTAGTAGTCGTAATAATAATAGTAATAATAGTAGTAGTAGTAGTAAAAGTAGTAGTAAAAGTAGTAGTAGTAGTAATAATAGTAGTAGTAGAAATAGTAGTAGTAGTAGTAGTAGTAGTAGTAGCAGTAGCAGTAGCAGTAGTAGTAGTAGTAGTAGTAGTAGTGATAGTAGTAGTAGTAGTAGTAGTAGTAGTAGTAGTAGTAGTAGTAATGGTACGAGTAGCAATACTAATCGTCGACGTCCTCGTCGTCGTCGTGGTAGCAGCACTAGTAGAATTGAGTCGTCGTCGCCGTAGTAGGTGGTAGTAGTAATAATAATAGTAACCAGAGTAGTCGAGTCGCAGAAATAATATTACTAGAGTAAGAGTAGTAGTAGTAGTAGTCGTCGTCGTCGTGGTCGTAGTCGTCGTCTATGTAATTCGAATAATAGTAGTAGTAGTACTGGCAAAAGAAGTCGCAGTAGTTGTAGTAGCAGTACTCGTAGTACGAGTAGTAGTAGTAGTAGTAGTAGTAGTAGTAGTAGTCGTAGTAGTACTAGTAGTACTAGTAGTAGCAGTAGTAGTAGTAGTAGTATCAATAATAATAATCGTAGTAGTAGTAATCGTAGTAGCCGTACTCAAAATATTGTTAGTAGTGGTAGCAGTGGTAGTAGTAGTAGTAGTAGCAGTAGTAGTAGTAGTAGAAGTAGTAGCAGTAGTAATAGTAGTCGCAGTAGTAGTAGTAGTAGTAGTACTAGTAGTAGTAGTAGTAGTAGTAGTAGTAGGAGTAAAAGTCGTAGGAGCAGTAGAAGTATCAGCAGTAGCAGTAGAAGTAGCAGTAGTACGAGTAGTACTAGTAGTAGTAGCTGTAGCACAAGGAGTAGCAGTAACAGCAGGAATTGTAGCAGTAGCAGTAGTAGCGCTAGAAGTAATAGTAGTCGTAGCAGTTGTAGTGGCAGCAGTGGTGGTAGTAGTAATAATAAAAACAAGAATATCAAGAGCTGCAGTAGTGGTAGTAGCGGTCGTACTAGTAGCTGCAGCAGGTAGCA